TCCATTTTAATAATGTTCCATGATATTTTCTCCTTTGACAGGCAAGTTCTTTTTTTTCTCTTTAAATTTTTTATTGTGATGTTAATCACCATCCATTACATCATTAGTTTTTGATGTAGTGTTCCATGATTCATTCTTTGTGCATAACAACCAGTGCTCCACACAGAACATGCCCTCTTTCATACCCATCACCAGGCTAACCAATCCCCCCACCCCCCTCCCCTCTAGAACCCTCAGTTTGTTTTTCAGAGTCCATCGTTTCTCATGGTTCGTCTCCCCCTCCGACTTACTCCCCTTCATTCTTCCCCTCCTGCTATCTTCTTCTTTTTTTTCCTTAACATATATTGCATTATTTGTTTCAGAGGTACAGATCTGTGATTCAACAGTCATGCACAATTCACAGCGCTCACCATAGCACATACCCTCCCCAATGTCTATCAGCCAGTCACCCCATCCCCACTCCAGCAACCCTCAGTTTGTTTCCCGAGATTAAGAATTCCTCATATCAGTGAGGTCATGATACACGTCTTTCTCTGATTGACTTATTTCGCTCAGCATAAGACCCTCCAGTTCCATCCACGTCACTGCAAATGGCAAGATCTCATTCCTTTTGATGGCTGCATAATATTCCATTGTATATATATATACCACTTCTTCTTTATCCATTCATCTGTCGATGGACATCTTGGCTCTTTCCACAGTTTGGCTATTGTGGACATTGCTGCTATAAATATCAGGGTGCACGTACCCCTTCGGATCCCTACATTTGTATCTTTGGGGTAAATACCCAGTAGTGCAATTGCTGGAACATATGGTAGCTCTATTTTCAACTTTTTGAGGAACCTCCATACTGTTTTCCAGAGTGGGTGCACCAGCCTGCATTCCCACCAACAGTGTAGGAGGGTTCCCCTTTATCCGCATCCCCGCCAACATCTGTCATTTCCTGACTTGTTAATTTTAGCCATTCTGACTGGTGTGAGGTGGTATCTCATTGAGACTTTGATTTGGATTTCCCTGATGCCAAGCGATGTTGAGCACTTTTTCATGTGTCTGTTGGCCATTTGGATGTCTTCTTCGGAAAAATGTCTGTCCATGTCTTCTGCCCATTTCTTGATTGGATTATTTGTTCTTTGGGTGTTGAGTTTGATAAGTTCTTTATAGATTTTGGATACTAGCCCTTTATCTGATGTGTCATTTGCAAATATCTTCTCCCATTCTGTCGGTTGTCTTTTGGTTTTGTTGACTGTTTCTTTCATTGTGCAAAAGCTTCTTATCTTGATGAGGTCCTAATAGTTCATTTTTGCCCTTGCTTCCCTTGCCTCTGGTGATGTTTCTAGGAAGAAGCTGCTGCAGCTGAGGTCGAAGAGGTTGCTGCCTGTGTTCTCCTTTAGGATTTTGATGGACTCCTGTCTCACATTTAGGTCTTTCAACCATTTTGAGTCTATTTTTGTGTGTGGTGTAAGGAAATGATCCAGTTTCATTCTTCTGCATGTGGCTGTCCAATTTTCCCAACACCATTTGTTGAAGAGACTGTCTTTTTTCCACTGGACGTCCTTTCCTGCTTTGTCAAAGATGAGTTGACCATAGAGTTGAGGGTCCATTTCTGGGCTCTCTATCCTGTTCCACTGATCTATGCATCTGTTTTTGTGCCAGTACCATACTGTCTTGATGATGACAGCTTTGTAATAGAGCTGGAAGTCCGGAATTGTGACGCCACCAGCTTTGCTTTTCTTTTAAACATTCCTCTGGCTATTAGGGGTCTTTTCTGGTTCCATACAAATTTTAGGACTATTTGTTCCATTTCTTTGAAAAAGGTGGATGGTATTTTGATGGGGATTGCACTGAATGTGTAGATTGCTCCAGGTAGCATTGATATCTTCACAATATTTGTTCTTCCAATCCATGAGCATGGAACGTTTTTCCATTTCTTTGTGTCTTCCTCAATTTCTTTCATGAGTATTTTATAGTTTTCTGAGTAAAGATCCTTTGCCTCTTTGGTTAGATTTATTCCTAGGTATCTTATGGTTGTGGGTGCAATTATAAATGGGATCGACTCCTTCATTTCTCTCTCTTCTGTCTCGTTCTTGGTGTATAGGAATGCCACTGATTTCTATGCATTGATTTTATATCCTGCCACTTGACTGAATTCCTGTATGAATTCTAGCAGTTTTGGGGTGGAGTCTTTTGGGTTTTCCACTTAAAGTATCATATCATCTGCAAACAGTGAGAGTTTGACTTCTTCTTTGCCGATTTGGATACCTTTGATTTCTTTTTGTTGTCTGATTGCTGTGGCTGGGACTTCTAATACTATGTTGAAGAGCAGTGGTGATAGTGGACAACCCTGCTGCATTCCTGACCTTAGAGGGAAAGCTCTCAGTTTTTCCCCATTGAGAATGATATTCGCTGTAGGTTTTTCATAGATGGCTTTTATGATATTGAGGTATGTACCCTCTATCCCTATACTCTGGAGTTTTGATCAAAAAAGGGTGATGTACTTCGTCAAATACCTTTCCTGCATCTATTGAGAGGATCGTATGATTCTTGTTCTTCCTTTTGTTAAAGTATTGTATCACGTTGTTTGATTTGTGGATGTTGAACCAATCTTGCAGCCCAGGGATAAATCCCACTTGGTCGTGGTGAATAATCCTTTTAATGTACTGTTGGATCCTATGGGCTAGTATTTTGGTGAGAATTTTTGCATCCATGTTCATCAAGGATATTGGTTTGTAATTCTTTTTGATGGGGTCTTTGTCTGGTTTGGGGATCAAGGTAATGGTGGCCTCATAAAACAAGTTTGGAAGTTTTCCTTCCATTCCTATTTTTTGGAACAGTTTCAGAAGAATAGGTACTAATTCTTCTTGAAATGTTTGGTAGAATTCCCCTGAGAAGCCATCTGGCCCTGGGCTTTGGTTTGTTGGGAGATTTTTGATGACTGCTTCAATTTCCTTAGTGGTTATAGATCTGTTCAGGTTTTCTATTGCTTCCTGCTTCAGTTTTGGTAGTTGATACATCTCTAGGAATGCATCCATTTCTTCCAGGTTATCTAATTTGCTGGCATAGAGTTGCTCATAATATGTTCTTAGAATTGTTTGTATTTCTTTGGTGTTGGTTGTGATCTCTCCTCTTTCGTTCATGATTTTGTTGATTTCGGTCATTTCTCTTTCCTTTTTTATAAGTCTGGCCAGGGGTTTATCAATCTTGTTAATTCTTTCAAAGAACCAGCTCCTAGTTTCGTTGATCTGTTCTACTGTTCTTTTGGTTTCTATTTCATTGATTTCTGCTCTGATTGTTATTTCTCTTCTCCTGCTGGGTTTAGGCTTTATTTGCTGTTTTTTCTCTAGCTCCTTTAGGTGTAGGGTTAGGTCGTGTATTTGAGACCTTCCTTGTTTCTTAAGAAAGGCTTGTATTGCTATATACTTTCCTCTTAGGACTGCCTTTGCTGCATCCCAAAGATTTTGAACAGTTGTGTTTTCATTTTCATTGGTTTCCACGAATTTTTTAAGTTCTTCAATTTCCTGGTTGACCCATTCATTCTTTAGTAGGATGCTCTTTAGCCTCCATGTATTTGAGTTCTTTCCGACTTTCCTATTGTGATTGAACTCTAGTTTCACAAGCATTGTGGTCTGAAAATAGGCAGGGAATAATCCCAATCTTTTGGTACCAGTTGAGACCTGATTTGTGACCTAGGATGTGATCTATTCTGGAGAATGTTCCATGGGCCCTAGAGAAGAATGTGTATTCCGTTACTTTGGGATGGAATGTTCTGAATATGTCTGTGACGTCCATTTGGTCCAGTGTGTCATTTAGTCTTTATTTCCTTGTTGATATTTTGCTTAGATGATCTGTCCATTTCAGTCAGGGGGCTGTTAAAATCACCCACTATTATTGTATTGTTGTCAATGTGTTTCTTTGCTTTTGCTATTAATTGCCTTATATAATTGGCTGCTCCCATGTTAGGGGCATAGATATTTACAATTGTCAGATCTTCTTGTTGGATAGACCCTTACCCGCTCTGATACCCAGGAGCTCTGCCGCATTCAGGCACCCCCAGTCTTTCTGTGACCCCGAGGGTCCTGAGACCACACTGTCCCGTGAGGTTCCACCCCCTGCTTAGCCACTGTGGAGCGACGTCCCTCAGAGGAGCCGACTTCTAAAAGTTCCGATTTTGTGCTCCTCGGCTCTATCACTTGCCAGAAGCGGCCGATGGAGGCCCCCTCCCCTGCCGTCTATCCTTCCGAATATCGCCTCGGATTCACTTCTCCACACGTCCTACCTTCCGGAACGTGGTTGCTTTTCTGTTCAGAGAGTTGTTGCTATTTTTTCCTTTAATCTCCTGTTGAGTTCATAGGTGTTCAGAATTCTTTAATCCCTATCCAGCTGAATTCCTGAGACCAGACGAAATACAGGTCTCCTACTCCTCCACCATGTTGCTTCTGAGAGGCAAGTTCTTACTATTGATCGTATTTCTCAGTATACATCTGAGGCTTATCATACTTTAAATCTTCATCTATGGAATCACTTTACAGATAAATCCATCTCAAAATGAGATAATTTTACCAAAACTATTTTGCACAGAATCAGAGAGGCCTACTGAACACATAAATAATCTAATTTATCATCAAAAGTACAATATATTTAAAAATATGACAATACATTTTTTTAAAAGATTTTATTCATTTATTTGAGAGAGGGAGCACAAGCAGGGGGAGCAGCAGAGCAGGAGGAAGAAGCAGACTCTCCTCTGAGCAGAGAGCCCGATGCAGGACTCAATCCCAGGACCCCGGGATCATGACCTGAGCTGAAGGCAGAGAATTAAACTGACTGAGCCACCCAGGCACCCCACAACAATAAATTTTAAGGTAAATAGAATCATATGTCTCTATCTTATCAATAAATTTCTATCTAAAATATCACTGAGTTCTAGTAATTATTCCTAAGTATGGTACTGATCAACATCTATTAAGTAACCTTTTTGAGATTATCTCTAGTAGAATACTCACCTAATAGCATCATTGGTCTCTGAAACAGCTTTCAGGTACTCCTTCAAATAAAAATAATTAAAGCAGTATTTCCGAATCCTATAGCCTCGCCATCGCCTCTGAATCTATTGAAGTAAATTAAAAGATAAAATATACCAGTGAGCATTTTTAGTCAAAACATTAACAGTTCTTCAAAATTAAGATAATCATGGATGATAACTCACATCAAATAAAGTCTTAGGCTTTCCCACTAATATAATAGTATATAGTTGCAACTGTAGAATGTACTTAGATTATAAAATATTATAGAAACAAAACATATTTAGAGATCAGATTTTAAAAAATTTATAATTTTTCACAAATACTAAATGTGAAATTAACTACTGAACAATTAAAAATTTGCTTTAAAAATCTCTACCATTTCCACTTCCTGACCAAACGGATTTTTTATTTTTCATAAATCACTGACTTGAAGATTGTATTTGGTCTCATTAAAATCAATTTTCAAATGGGCTTTTAAAATTTGGTGGTTTCAAAATCTTTAAACAAAATGTTATCTTATCTCTTCATCATGATATTTTAATACTTCTTTAATAATAACAATAGCTAACATTTATTGTTTTATTATGTGTGAGGTACATGTATTACAGTTTGCATGTATGTATGCATTTAATCTTAAGAATACTCCTAGGAGAAATACTCTTTTCTTTTTTTTTAAGATTTTATTTATTTATTTGGCAGAGAGAGACACAGCGAGAGAGGGAACACAAGCAGGGAGAGTGGGAGAGGGCTCGGCAGGAAGCCTGCCGAGCAGGGAGCCCGATGTGGAGCTGGATCCCAGGACACTGGGATCATGACCTGAGCCGAAGGCAGATGCTTAACAACTGATGAGAAATATTCTTATCTTCTTATTTACAGATGAGAAAACTGCTAAATAGAGAAGTTACATAATTTCCTCATAGTTATATAGCCATTGGTGATGGATCCAGGAATTACATTAGGACTTTAGAGCCCATTTTCTAAACCACTAAAAGATAGAACTGGGCACAGAGTGAAATGCAATTTTCAAAGGACAAACATTTCTGTTGAAAGCACCTATGTTTTTTTAGATGAAAGGAGTATGGGGAGGGGGTCTCAGAGAACAAATTTATGTGGGCTACTTCTTGCCTTATTATATACTCCAGTAATCACGAGAAATCAATCTCTTTATGTTTTATCTTTGCTAATATAATCTCTAATAGACAAACTCAAAACAAAAACATAATAATGCATAGATCTTATCTTTGTGGAAAACAAACAAACAAAAAAACCTCACAACTTCTTTAAAGGAGTAAGGGAAGAAGAAACAGCAAAAGATGAAAAAAAATGTTAACCCTGCATAAAGATTTAACTTCATTCCCTAAAATTTTATGGCAGTGTTCATATATTTTTGAATTATTCACATATTATGAATGATTCTCTTTTTGGATATGAAGTCCTTCCAATGTTTTGCACAGTTAGCTAAGCTAGGAACACACACCTTCTCTAAACATTTTTTTTTAAATAGCAAAGGGTTATCAATATAGACACTCTATACTTGTGTCCCTTGGGTTTTATCCCAAAAGCCTATTCTTAATTCTTAATATTCTTAAATATGTTGAGCTTAAAATTTTTTATAACTTGAAATCTGGATCTATAAGAATAAACAGGAAAAATGTTTTACTTGTATTCTAAATTTTTCTGTGTTTTAAAACATGATCATTTCAAAGATATTTTACAATCTGAAATACAGAACATGAAAATTCTGAAGAACTGTTTTAGTCAATCTCCCAGTATGAGAATGACTAAAACCATTGAAGATATGCAAAACAGCTTGTAAGAACAATTAAATCAGAGATAATTCTAGAAAGTAACAACAAGTAGAAAAGCAAGCTAGTGTAACAATGTTATAAAATGCACCTTTCCAAATATTTTTCAAGTGATCTTATTTTAGAAATTCATTAAATAAGAAAAATTATTTTTTTAAAGTTATATACTCATTTTAGAAACTATCTCCCTCTAATTTGACCAAACTGTATTAGAGCTGACAAAGAAAGGTGAGGAATTGATACAAACCACTTTCCTAATGAAAAAGAATAATCAGTTGGAATATGTTTATGTATATAAATCATATATGCAAATAAGTAAATATTTTCCTGGCTCATCTAATTTAATCATTACAATATCATTTTGAGGTAGAGATTATTATTAGTCTCATTTGATAGAAGGGGACATTGATACTTAAGAGAGGTTAAATCATTGCTTTCAGTCATAGAGCTGGTGGGATGGCTTCAAATATTACACCATGCTTTTACTTCATGTACAGTCATACAATAAAAGAAGAGAACACTTTCAGACAAAAGTACAAACAGAAAATCCATCATTAGCAACAGAAGTGACTTAGGAAAAATGGGAAAATATTAGGATATCATATAGTGTTAAGGTAGGAACTACTTATAACATTAAAACATCATTAAATTCTAAATGAAGTAAGATTAAACGATGCATGCTGGATCACTGAGAAGGAAAAAGGAAAGATGTTGATTTATGATTAGGTCACACTAGGGCACCGTGTATGCCCATTCTGAGAAAAAAGTCTGAAAGGACAAAACTAAAATTGAATTCATGTCAATAGGAAGGATACCTGAAGTCAGTGGCATGGGCTCCCTCCCACTTCAAACCAGGCAAATACTAGAAACAGCACTAACCACCTCCAGAGAGTCTATAATTGGTGTGTTCTCAGGGGATCTTCTAATATCCAACCTCCCTAGACATCTACCCAAAGGCAGGCTAAAATTCTTTTCCAAGACAAATCCTTTTATTCAGAATTGGGTATTAAAACACATACTGAGGGGCGCCTGGGTGGCTCAGTTGTTAAGCATCTGCCTTCGGCTCTGTCAAATAAATAAATAAAATCTTTAAAAAAAAATGAATAAATAAAATAAAAATAAAACACACTGAGCAAGTGATGGTTAAAGTAACAAATTAAAACTCAACCACATTAATAATATTGATTGATAATCAATCTTTAAATGGCTTTGCTAGAGGTAAGTAGGTAAAAGTAGAAAGAAACTGGGTGTTTGGCCAGGGGAAGATGCTGCCATCCCGTGAAGGGAAGCTCATGAATGTGCCAGGTATTACATTAACTAACTGCTTTAATTCTCATGCTAACCTATGCATGCGGCATGATCTCCATGTTAAAAATGAAGAAACTGAGGTTAAGTAATTTGATCAAGTTCACATAACCAGTAAAAGAATAAATGGCAAAGTCAGGATACAAACCCAGCTCTGTCTTATTCAAAAGCCCACTCTTTCCACTAAAACATCTTACAGATGAACTACATAAGAAGAAAAAGTATGTGTATGTGTTCTTTCATTTAAAAGATAACCATTTTCCCATGTTATAAGGAGTCCAGTTTAACCAATCCCTAATTGATAGAAGATACAATACAGTGGAGATTCTACTATACTTTCTCTTATAAGAACAGATGACATCTGTAACTTTGCCTAAATTTCCTGTTGATGTCCCAGTACTAGCGAATCAACTTTAATTAAAAAAAAAAAAAACAGTTCTTTCAAGAGGCTAGATGACTTTTTATAACATTTCTTAATTTCAAGGTGAATGGGTTATGACTTAAAAAAAAAGGCTAGTATTCATGTCCTTTAAAGTAATTAGCAACTTTCAGAAGTGATTGGTATAAAACAATTATTGTCATTGATCAGCTCTGAATAGATAATTTTAAACAAAGTCATTGTGTGCTCAGCAGATTACAGCTTGTTAAACAGGCAAGTTCTAAATGACCTCTTAAGCTAGTCAAATCAATGATGCATATTCCTCATTAAGTAACATCAAAATGTAAGTGGTCTTATAAATAATGTTTATTTTAAGCACTAAAACAAATGGCAAAAACCTGATATACCAAAAGCCATCTGCTCATAGAAAAGATTTACCCTCCACTGGTTTACTTTTATTTCTCAAAATTCATAGTAACATTACTGTTATCAAAAGAGGAAAAAAAAGTCTTCTCACCTAAAATTAAAATGAAGACATGGAAAACAAAATGTCTATCACTGATAATAACCTGCGTAGCATCAGTGGTCTGAGTGGACTTGAGAGCGGGCAAGTAGAACCCTTACTCATGGCTATGCTCTTATTTACTAGAGTGCTCAACATCCTAGATTATACAGTGTGCCCCGAAAAGTAGGTTTACTAAATTCTCCAAGGTATTTAAAAAACAGTAATATCCAAATTTCATACTAGGTGTCACTGAATTATCATGTCAAAAACATACGTATATGAATGGAAATCTTAACTAGGTATTTGTAACTAATGGAAGAGTCTGGATGATCATTCCATATGCAGTTTCTTCTCTTTGATGCTGTTTCCCCACTCTCCCTGACTTTATACTCCCTTTCACTACAAATTTATTTAATCATCTCACAATGTTACTGGTACTAGAAGTAGTAGGAAGGGAGAAGAAATATTCTTTTGCATGGTGATGGGGGTTTAAACATCCGTCCGTCATCAGGCTAAAGCTGTCTGATCCTTTACCTCTTAGTCCTTGGGCTGACATTTTGGGACATCTGCTTCTATTAACTTGTATTCCTAGAGCCTAACATAATATCTAGTATATAACAGACGTTCACTATTGTGTCCTAAATTATTTCCTTAATTACTTCCTGAATTATTCCTGATAAATTCCTACTTATCTCTATCCATCTAATCATGGAGTCATTATTCTAAACGTACCTACTTCATAGTATGACAAATACAAAAACCGGATTATAAATAGTTTAGGAGATTGAAATGGATCCTTATATATCTGACACATATTCAACTATTTTTTAATTAAAGCCACCATGTAATAATTTCTAATATTTTTATATTTTAAACACAAGTGGGAAACAAAATAAAATGGTTAATTGATGTTTCAAGCTGGATTAATGTTTGTAAATTAAAATTTGTATTCAGAGATCCAGACCTCTAAGAAGAAAGAGCCAATAAAGTCATGGTTACTTTGCAAATTGGCTGTTTTAAGTGATCTTTAATCTAGTGATCCTCCTGTTATTATAGTCTTTATTTTTCTTAAGTGAAGATTTCTATCCG